ATCGGTGTAACATTTATAAGAAGGGGATTTATACACATTTGCTTGATTACTTTTTCCAGTCAGCAAGCACTCAAGGAGTTTCTTGGGGAGGGTGAGACTTGAGATTGATTTAAACCAGGGCACAATATGTCATAGCCTTCTGGAAGTAAACAACCGGCACTAATCTTCCTTCATGTCACACAAATCATATCTCAGCTCTTAGTACGAAGTTGCACAAATCATGGTGTGTTGACAGGCTTTTTTCTCAAATGCTTGTACTTGAAGCTTATTTTTTAAGCTTTTCCATAACTATGTTATCAAAGTATTTTTTTATTAGCAGGGGGGGAAGAGGAAGTATATTTTAACGAAAATGAAATGTACTGCAAATCTAATTCTTTACATCCTAACCATCCTTCTCTTGTTTTCCTTCTACTTCTGTCTGTTTCGCAGAAAGCAATCCGTGTCACCACCTTCATGCAACGCCTGAAGAATTCAGAAGCATTGATTGATAGCTCTGCTGAGGTTCAGGGCAGTGAGGAGGCAGGGGATGGTGAAGGGGGTGCTTCGCAGGGAACAAGTGATGAGGGAGAGAAAGGGATGAGTGATGGTGGGGTAACATCAAGTAGTGTGTCTTTAGAAGTTACTATTGAGAGCATGCCCTCTGGTATGGACCAGAGTAAAGAGACAGTTAAGGCTGGAGAAAAACAAGAGGAGGTAAAGATGCATATAGGCCCATCTGTAGGAACTTCGCCATCAGGTGTAGAGGACCTTTTCTGTCAACCAAATGCAGTCCCCAACTGTACCCAGGAACAGCCTGACAAGGTTGGTGCAAAGAAAGGCGCAGGTGAGGGAACCAGGAAAATGGCTGCAAATTTGGGCCAAAATAAAGCTGTCCCAGAATTCAAACAGACGCCTGCGGTGAGCCCTGAGGCCTCAAAGCTATTAGACAGCACTTCGGGCATTAATCTTGACAAAAAACACATATCGTCCTCCCCCGACCCCAGCAGCAAACGTAAAATGGCTGCAACACTTCATGCACCTTCACACACAGCGTCCGCTGCTGCATCAGCCTCACCGCTGAAGAGACCAGTCACACAAAGCGAGCAAAAGGATGAGACTGACGGAAGTTGGTGTCAGACACAAGTACCTGAAGCGGTGGCTGAAAAGTCTGTGGTGGCGCCAGTTACTCCAGCAGTGGGGCCAGGTACAGGGGTGGATGGAGGACTAGAAGTTAGGCTCAGGGGCGATGAGAGTCCAGTAGATAGGCAGGACAGGAATGCCAGAAGAACAGATAGATACAGCGCTGAGTTTAGTATACCAAGAGCAGGTGCTACACCGGGACAGGCTTGCTATGCAGTTGGAAGCTCTGCTAGCTTGGGCCGTCATGCCACACCATACAATCCAGAGGTTGGGGCTATGGGGATGGCTGGGAGCTATGGGAGTCCATACAGTTCCCTGTATACGAGTGGAGGAGGTGTAGGGAGGTATGGAACTGGGCTACCGCACAGTGGGGGGACTTCAAGCGATTGGCAAATGGACAGTGTGATCGAGCAGATAGAAAAGCAAATGGCTGCTGTGCTGGAGAAGATCGAGGGAGACATGCCATCGCTCCTAGAGCAAATCAGTGACTGTCCTGCTGAGCAACCTCGAGCTCGGAGCACACACGCTTCTCCCGCCACCTCTCGTGCACGCCCCTCACAGCGGTCCACATCTGCAACCACCGGCACCCCACCACCACTTCCTACCTCTCCCAGACCTGTGCTGCCATCTCTTCCTCACATTAGCATCCCTCCTCCTGCCTATCCCCCACCATCTCCACCCACAGAAGCCTCACCCCAGGCGCTGGGAGAGCAGGAAGACAGAGATGGACAGGCGGCTCCTGCTCATTCCAGCCAGTCACCAAGACCTGGGATAGGCAGGGGACTATGAGGCAGGTGTGCATGATGCAATACACAAAGGCAAAAATACCTGGAACACTGTATTCATAGTTAAACTTAAGGATTTAATGACTGTCTCACCCAGAAGGACTGCCTAATTGTGCTCAAAAAGAGAAGTTATTACACTGTTGTTTGGTTTGGCTGCATATACCAGATGACCCTACCCCCCTCTGACATTCCAAACACTTTCGTCACTGGAGTCTAGAGGGATTAGAGTACAATATATCTCTGTATGACAGCTTCACAGATCAAGATCTTAAAAGTTGGTTATGCTAAATCCAGATTGTGTGCCTAAATGTTTACCACACAACCACCTCATATGGAAATCCAAGCACTCAACAAATTTGCAAATTATGAAGCTGCACAAATAAGAATGGCAAAATCCTCAACTAACAGTGAAAGAAAAGCTCTAAATAAAGTATTGTCCCCTAAAAACTGTAAATAAACAGAATCAAACTAGGTTCCTAAGTCATATTTTTCTTCCATGGTGTGAACTTCCTCATATCCAAAGTGACATTTACTTTTTTTCCTTTTTGCTCAAAGCAGATTGTCCCATGATTTTTTTTCAGTTACTATGTATTTATGTGGCTAGTTATTCTGTTGTGATGGTTGGTGTCACAAAGTTGTACAGAAATATGTGAAACTGATCTGATAAAGCCATTCCCCTGGTTGCAGGAAATTATAATTTGTTTTATTAAACGGTATATTTAAACTTAAACTGTCACTTAGACTTATGAGTTGTTCCACATCTGCCGGAGAGCTGGGGGAAATATACTGTATAAAGGCTTTGCAATAACACAGTAACACTTACATTTTCTCTCCTTTTTTCTCCAAACATTTCCAGATAGTTTGTTTTCATTTGCTCCAGTTTTGTCAGCACATTCATTTGGTACCGTTAACTGGACAGTCCTGCCTATTTCATCCTTTTCATCATAAAACTGTTCTGACTTTTGTTCTGCTATTGGGTGTATGTAATACCAGATTCTGTGCTTTTCTCCTGAACAAGTCTAGATCTCCACTATTCTGTCCCTATGTAAAATGTGCACTGTTTGCAAGTCTTTCAATAAAAGTAAGTCAGTAAATACATGCATATATATTGAGTTGTTTAAAATCATTTGATCACTCTTCAAAAAAAACATTTTAGAATTACAGCCGAGTTTTGTTTTGTTTTTTACGTGCTTAATCAACATTTATCCAAAAGGCAGATTTCTGACAGGCGTTCTATTATGTTATCCTATGTGCCTACAAGTCCCATAAGGCACTGCGTGAACTTCGGTTTAGTCCATGCTTGTAAGGGTACGGGGGTGGAAAAAGTACTCTTGTTTCTAAATAAACAACTAAACCACAAAGCAGTGTAATATTCAGTACGCTTTATCTTCTAGATGGGATGTGTGAGCGTTAACGATTAATTAAAAGACAGAGCAGACACAAACAAATCATATTCATTTTCAATTAACCCCAAGACCCAGAATGATGGTTGTGCCTGTAACGTGCACATGTTGCTGCTTTGCTTTGCTTTCAACTGAAATAGAGTGAGGGGAAACGGTTTGGGAACAGCCGGACAGGCAGCCGTCCAGCGGAAAAAACTCACACAGAGCCCGCCACCGTGACACACTTTTCACTTTGCAGTTAGTGGCGGTGTTGAATTGTCACCTTGGTTGTTGTTTTTCTTTGCTTAAGCAGAAGGCGATTTTTAATACTCCAGATCAGGCCGAGTAAATATCGGATGTGGTAAGTTCTGCACACTTGTGTAAGCTCTCGTCCTGGTTATGTTAGCCGCAGCTAGTTTGCTAATGTTAGCTAGTTAGCTAACATAGCGGCACAAGACGGGGAAAAAGTCGCTGGGTGGCTAGATAGCTCGAAAGCTAGCCGCACACAAGCTAACAACTACGCAGTCTTTTGATGTGCGTTATCGATAGTCGTTAATATTAGTTGCAGGCGGCTGAGCGAACCATTTAAGCTCCTTGCTCCGCTAACGGTAGCTAACAAGACACTGACACGTAACTGTTAACGGCAAATTAGCATTTGTACATTTTTATGTGCACGGGGTTGCTGTTTTAATTAATGTTAGGCGATAAATAACGTTAATGGTATCTAGAAGGCTAGTTGCTTCAAACATTTGATGGATACTACGTTGAAAGACAGACACGAGCTAACTGGCATCACGAGCGTACATGCTGGCACTATTTTTTTTTTCCTCGTATATCCGTTTGTATATGTAGGGTTCCCGTTTCGATAGCACGTTTATCGGCGTTATCACAGTAACCTAACACTGGCTAGTCTGTGTTTAGCTTGTCAAGTTAGGCAGCCTATTATTCGGACATCATTGATATTCGTATGCTTCAGTTCAAAACATTTTCTAGTTGGAAGATGAAAATAGGGGATCACCTCGACATGTGTACCCGAGTATATGCGGCCCACTCTTTTTTTTTTCCTGGGCCTTTGTCATTTACTAGGCACCCCCTCCCCCAATACTCTTCTGCAAGGAATGCTCACCCCTAACCTCAGTGTGACTAAAACGCCCAGACGCTCAGCATCACTAGCTAATAAGGATCGTGCACTATCCGACTTGAGTAGTGATAATTGCTGAATTCATAAAATAGTCAAAACAATCGGTGTGTTAAGTGGAATGTAGCAAATTGTGCTCCAGTGAGAGTATATCTAATGGCGTTTAACTGTGAAATGTGTTCTTTCTGATGGTGCATTGTTGCAAGTTTGGTGTTCAGCTTTGTTTATGGAGTTCACATGAAGATGACTGGTCCTTGCTAATCTGCCTCTGAAACAAAGGTGTTGTTACTGATGAGTTACATTCAGCTCCGTTAAGGGAGAATCCTTTCATGCAATGGTCTCAGACATACCCGCAATTATTTTTCTCATTAAGTGTTGGGTTTTTTCATTAGATTATTGGAGATCCTACTGTTCATTGTACAGTAAGATATTTGGCATGCATCCTCTCGTAGCGAGGGCGGGATCAACGCGCTTTAGCTTGGGCTTGAAGAGCCAATGAGCCGAGGACCTGGATGAGCAGCGTGCTTGCAGCCACCCTTTCCTGTTGAATATTTCAGCCCCTGCGTCACAGCTCCTCCGCCCCTTTCTCCCCATCTGCCATTTTGGTTTTGTTCCTGTCTGCAGTCGCAAAGCCAGCAGCGCAATTACATAGACTATCGGCACAACGACATAGTGACTCGACAATATAGTGCAGACCACCCCAATCCCGCATCGCGTTTCTTTTCTCTGTACAAATCGTCGAATATACAATCAGCGTTTTTACTGACAGCTACACACAGCAGGAGAGGAGCGGGTTCGCATTGGGAAGGGACCGAGAAGGATTATTGGTAAGGAAAGGGAAATCAATGGAGCACGAGTGTAGTGGCTTGGCTTGTATTCGCGGTGTTTATGTTAAGTGACAAAGTTAAATTGTCTTTTTGTTAGATGCCTAGACATTTACCCATATCCACATAGGCGCTGTGGTAGACTACTGTCAAATCCGCTGCTCTCCAGTGCGAGGTCGGTTGGAGTGTAGCCACAGCTGCTAGCTTGTAAAATTGTGTTCCGCACTGAGGGTAATGCGGGCCTAGGCCGAGCTGCTAATGGATAAGCTGACAAGCTGGTGTTTTCTTCCCTCTAAGTTATTAATGTTTAGACTCTGTCCACTTGCCAAATCACTTAACCGATTAGTTGCTCGGAACCTACTTAGTTTTCTATTGGTGCTGTTGTCTGACAGTTAATTAATATTTTTCCACACGTTGAGATCTTTAAATCGACTGCTACCCGCTAACGTTTTCTAGTAGGATTGGCAAACTACAGTAACAGCCGGGCGGCTTTGCTGTATCATGCCGGACGCCTTCATTTTCGGTTTTGACAAGCGCGACCGTTCAGTTAACGGTGATATGAAGGCTATTTTAGGCTGGTTGCAGTCGTATGAAAATTTGCCCAGGCCTCGTCATAATTTAAAGTCGTAGAGAGGGTTATAAACTGATACGTGTGCCTTGGGAAATGCACGGAAGTTGGCGCCGCATTGGATGCGGAAATTGTGCCCGACCTTTTTTTTTTTTTTTCTTTTTTTTTTGTGCACCCAGATTGTATTTGAGAAACGCTGCGGCCCTCCGAGTGCAGAGGTTTATCGCGACTACTGCGTTAATCAGAAATCTAAATGCATTGCTATTAAATGTTGCCGTTTAGAGCTTTCTTGTAACGTCGCCATCTACAACTTAGTTGCAGCACAGTGTGGTCCTTGTGTCCGCACCTGCCAGCCATTGTGTGGTATTGCTCAGTTTACCGCAGTGAACTTTTAATGATTCAGCTCTTTTCCTTGAAACATGTTGGGTGTCGATAAATACCAGGAAAAAACAATAGAAGTATCTAAACAAACCTGTGCTTTCTGTGTGTATGAAAGAACCGTAATGCTATTCATGTCTCTTCCCAGCCTCAGTTCGTTTTCTAGCAGATTTGTGTTTGGCCTGAAGCCAGCCCAGCTGCTCTCTAGGCTAAAAATCCTCTCTTCAAAATGAGGGGGACTGGTTAGCCTTTAGTTTAGGTATTTATTATAATGGAACCATAGCAACGAATTATAAAATTACTGAAGTTTCTATGAATTGGAATCAGTTGGCTTCTGAGAACATTCAGGAAACCCAGGCTTGTTGACAGTGTGCTGTCTTTCTTTTTTTTCTTAATGATGTAAAATGTCTTTCTTTTATTCTAGATTTATTGCAAACTACCAAAATGTTATAGGGCAGTTGTTAACTGGTAACATTCGTGTGCTTGAATGACAACTTAATTTATGATGGTGGTTAATGCACAGATGTCCAGCTCGCCGCTGTCCAAGAAGCGTCGCTTGTCAGGAACAGAGACGAAGACGGGATCCCACTGCTCCTCCTCTAACTCTGTCAGAACTGATCTGTCCCACACACCTGCCAACGTGAGTGCAAACACATCTACTCTATAGAGTGAGTAGAACTTGTAACGTAAACTGATTGCACTTCGTGTTGTTTTCCCAGGGCATGGCTAAGAATGGCAATGATGCTGAGATCGATGAAGGCCTGTACTCAAGACAGCTGTAAGCTTCTTTTTTTTCCTTTTTGTGATGTTGGACTTCATGGTTATTGGGCTTGACATCTACCAATGCATAATGATGCCAATGGTTCTTTATGTCATTATTTAGTTACGTGCTGGGCCATGAAGCTATGAAGCGCATGCAGAACTCCAATGTCCTCATCTCTGGTATGAGAGGCCTTGGAGTTGAGATTGCCAAGAACGTGATCCTGGGAGGAGTTAGAAGTGTCACTATACATGACGAAGGAGTTGCAGAATGGAGAGACCTCTCTTCCCAGGTGTGTGAAAGCACAGATATTTAAATTTAAAATTTTTGCAGTAGTTTATTTTTCCCGATTAAGTTACCGTATTTTCACGACCATAAGACGCACCGTACTAAAAGGCGCAGTCTCAGTTATGTGTGCCATTACTGCATTTAACACACACATAAGGCGCACCTGATTATAGGGCGTATAATCACACAAGTATGCGTGTTTAAAAATAAAGCGGGAGCAAAACTGAGTTTGGTACTCACATTTTTTATTAATGGAACCATAGCATTATGGTTTGATGGAAGTCCTCATCCTCTGTGTCTGAACAGCTGCGCTAAATCTCCATCAAACATGGCAGGTTCACTTTCTTCACTGTCAGAGTCACTTTCTGTGCCGTGCGGCTCCTCGGAAACGATGCCGGCTTTTGCGAAAGCTCGAACAACAGTGCCAGCAGACATGTTAGCCCAAGCATCTACAATCCATT